TTTTTTTTTTTTTCGCTGTGCTCTGCAAATGTAAAGGGTAGCTTCTACCGGAAACGCTCGATCGTTTCACCTAGAGCATCATTCCTTTGCCAAGTTTGTGAACTTGAATTTAATGAACTGAATTTCCTGTTGATCAATTTCCCGTGTCGTTTAATGTTCACTACGACTTCACCTCACCAGATTCCTCCTTCACTTGCGGATGAGATACGGCATTTGTGATTACAGAGATACTTTTGCCACTCTGCAAACTGGAATGGCTTGACGAACGACTATGACTTTGGCTACCTGCGCCAACTGGAGTCTGTACAAGAGGCTGCGGTGGAGTTCTAGCACCAGATCCATTGATCACTGTGGAGTTGGGTTGCAATTGCATGTGATATTTGTAAATGTTCTCTGTACTCTCAACAACTCCTAAATATGAAACATATTATTGAATAATTAGTTTACTGTGAATACGCAAAGGAGGCTTGACATGTGCAACTAAAATATATACCGGCTTGTAAATTCAAACTACGTCCACGGACTCCAGTCTCTTTTGAAGGGGGACTCCACCAATTGACGAAAGTTCCAACGACAGGTACGTGTCTAAGAATACCTTCTTGCCATAGTTTTTCAGCGTTTTCTCTTTCCAAATCTGTCTGCGCTGCCTCGATACCTCTTTTCACCACTTCGGATATAGTATCCAATAATTTGGAGCTAGCTTCCACTTCTTGACCAACTTGTAGAACTAAAGATAGTAATTCCGCCACGTCTGTGGAAAAATTACGTTTTATTTCCACACGCCAGACTTAAACTCAACTTAAATCGAGAGTAAAATAGTCTTCATTCACCAGTGTCTTGCGTGACCATTCCAAATCGTACACAAGCTAAGCCGTCGGCACCTTCTCCCAGAGAAAATGCCGCGTCTGTATTTCGTAAAGCTTCGACTAATTGCGTGTTTAATCTGTTCAGTTCTTCCTTAGCTTGGTCGGTCATGACGTGGATCCAAGTAGGAGGAGCGTATCGTACACCGCCTAAACCTGCCCAACCAGGCATTTCTACCAAATGTAAAGAGTCATTCTCCGAGACTAATCGCACAAACGTTGCTTTGTGCTCAACTGTTGCTTGTAAAATTTCCTATTATGCAAAAGGTCGCGATTAAAAATAATTACTTCAATGATAACTATGAATGCCTTTTTTATGTCGCTTTTAAAATGCACTCACTATCTGCTGCTCCAAACAAGCAACTACGTTATCTATGTCCTCGGTTGTAGGAGGTTGCTCCGGATTCTCTAGAGGACAAATACGAATTGCAATACCATGATGTTCTATCTCACACAGCTCTATTTGTACGTTTTCGATATCTCTCTGAAGGATTTGTCCCAACCAGGAATTTAATTTGTCGTAATAAGGAGGGACACGCTCTGTTGTCTGTGGATCTCTATCTGCAGGTACAAATTGGAACACTAATGCGCTGGCTACGGCTTCGAATAATTGTGGATTGTTTACGGGGTTTGTTAGAAGTTCGTTTATGGTATAGGACCCTGTTTCACCCCCAGGTGGCTGACTCTGGAAAACAGATCGCATAATTTGAAGCGACTTCCATTTATAAAAATGAATATTATTATTCGGATCAATTACCAGTATTCTTATACAAGAGAATTTCTTAATCTTATTATATAAATCTTCCACAGCCAAGAAGCACCTCTTCAGTCTGTTATGTACACCGTCCCTGCCTAGTACCTGCAACGTGGCCCACAATGGCAAAGTTGGTAAACGCCTTGACAGCGAATCTGTCATTAAACCCGATACCAAAGACAAAGTTGTGTCCCTTGGAGTTGGGCGACCACCTTTTATGTCCGTTAATCTGTATAACGTCTACGTATACGTTAATTAAGGAAAAATGTAACATCCTTTTTAACAATATTGAAAGAACTTTTTAACCGAGTATACACATATTTAAAAGGATACTACTACTGGTAGAGATGGTATACCAAGCCATATTCCAAGAGGTAACGTAACACTGTCTGCAATCTTTGAAGGCTAAGAATCGAAAAGGTCCTTATTAAACACTTTTAGTACAAAAAAAAAAAGAGAGAAATAAAGTGAAATAAATGTGAACACACCAGATCCTTTGTAGAATTATTCAACGTTAACGCGGCTAAAGAATGACCTCTAAGATGGAGCCAGACATTGTACTTATCGCAAATTGCTCGCAGTCTAGCGATATTGTCGCAATGTCCCGTTAACACCGAGCCCGCTTCGGCTAATACCAAAAGGGGCGTCACGCTATTTGATTGCGTATCTTCCGCTAGCCGGCGTTCTAGAGCTGACACGTCCATACTATACCGTGATCCAAACATCGTATTATGGGGGATGGGTCTTACGCAATGAAGCGGCAAAGACAGCTAAA